AACAGTCCGATTAGTGAAATCCATAATAATATTATAATCGGTGAAAAAATGTATTACTAATTGGGAACAAGTAATATCAACTAATCGTACAATATTAATTATTATCTTTTGCATTATATAATACCTATTAAAACATATAATATTGCCTATATCAGCCTTTCGTATTACCACTGTAGTTTACCTTGAACGGCATGACTTACAAGGATTAAGGAATACCTACCAATTTTAAATGTGTATACATATTACGATGTTTTCATCGCATAGTCGTGTCTGATTACTATTATTATTATTACCTATTACTGTTTATTTTGTTTTTTTTCTATTTGTTCGCTTTAGATTCGAAATACTATATTATACTGAAATATTTTTGGATTCTTTTTAATCTATTTTATTGACGTCTTACCTATATATATTTATTTTTGTTATTAAAGTTTTACTCACTTTTTTCGTCCTAATCTGTTGAAAAAGATTTTTTTACATTTCAACCGAAATATGTTTATAACTTAATTAGAGCACTAGTCAATTAATTCTAGTTACAAAGAAAAATAATTAAATTCCTGTTAAAACCACTCCACCGTTGTTCGGCACAAAAGTGTCGTTACTTCCTATATTAATCAAGTTGATACCTAAACTTAATCCTACTCAATAAAATCAAGTAATACTTTCATGAGAAATAAGAATACACGAACACGAGCATTAATGTTATTTCCTACAGTTGATTATCTTAATTTAATTTACCACGTACCTATGTGCATTTTTGTGTATTATTGTTGTGCAATAGATTTTTGTGACAATTTGTCACGTGCCACGTGCGTTCGTCTGTAAATTAAATATGAATGAACTACGGTTCTACTAGCCTGCAGTGATTACTGATTACCATAATATTATAATAATAATGATACCATCAATAAAATAGTAGGACATAGGTAGGATTCTAGGTCTGGTCCTAGTTAATTTATATCAGTATGCAGACACGATAACTATAACCAGAAGATCTTTTCTACTTCGCGGGGGTCACATAAAACCTCTGAGAAATAATACTTCCATAAAAATATTAACATACCTAAAAATTGTATCATTTGTAATAATTTAAAATACGCTGCACGTTAAAAATAATCGATACTCGAAAGGTATATTATGGAATTATTATAGTATGCTAATTCTGGCAAAAATTGACCTCCCGAATAATCTATTAAGACAGGTTATGTAAAACGATCGAATGAAATCCGCTCAACGGCCTCGTCGAAACGATACTATAATAATATAACCGCGCTCTAATACGGATCGACATGTTTTAATGCATAAATATGAAATCACACTCGATCCAATAGGTATGACATATTCATGGGATGAAAGTATAATCATAGTATAATACACTGACGATATTATGAACTAATTAGTAATATTGCTAATAATGATGTTATTATATTACGTTGTCACTTGACAATAATATTGTATATCGACCCTGCTTTGGTCTAGGTGGTGGTGAAGATATCACATCACTATTATTACTTGATTTTATTTTTTTACGAAGCCTATATAATATAATCACGAATAACGGAATAACATAATATTATCATGTGTTCCCGTTATACACAACTTATGTACTTAACACAACCGACGTTACCAACGCAAAGTATATTAAGTACCTACTTATTTAAAACGAAACTTATCTAGTTAAATCTGTACGTGCATAATTGAATGCGATACTTCTGCACGCGTTTGTTTTACTCTTATAATAGCCTCTTCGACCGTGTTGAACGTGAAACGAATGAACTTTGCTTCTCTGGGGATTCGTGGACAGTCATACTATATATATAGCGGAAACAGACCCGACTATATTATAATATTATGTGCATATATATATACAGAATGAATCACCGAGCATGCTCACCCCCCTATTTTTTTTTATAAATAATGCTTTACTATGGTTATTCAAAATCTGATTATTGGAATTTTCAAATACCTGTAGGTACTTATACAAACACTAAATTTTGAAATTCTTGAGATTTTTTTGTACAATTTAAGTGGTGTTCTGTGGATATGCAAACTTCTGTTTTTTTTTTTAAAATAATAACCCCCTTTTACTGGGTAAGTATGTACTGTACATTATTTAATAGAAAATGTTGACGCGTCAAAATCAAAATGCCAACGAGTATAGTTTTTAAGTGTTATTTAACTTAGACACTTAGTGTATTATATTTTTGATAAAAGGTCCATAATTTGGATTTGGAACATGTAGAGATACATTTAATATTTATCTATCAACGTTATTAATTTTTAAGAATGATTCTAGTATAATAATTATTCGCTGAATAATTTACAGCAAAAAAGAATATTATCACCACGGGACACTTCTTTATAAGTACCTAGTACAAAAAATCTAAAGGTTTGGAAATAACGTCTCTTTAACTCTTTAAGTATATCTCCAAAAACTGCAAAATCCAGGAGTTGAATCTGAATGAATTCATTATTAAAGGAAGCAATTGGGGGTGAATAGCATGCTTATTGAATCATCCTGTATATTATAGTTTCCGACGATATTTTGACCATAATATAATAATAGCAAAATAGAAAATCATACGATAGTTCGCTTATACATATTATCATTCTATCGGCTGGTCAGACCGGTTATTATAATATTAGCTATATTATGTACTATGTACGCACATAATATGTACCTATATACCACAACCACGTGGGAAAACTATTATTATACCCTTTACCACGTTTGCATGAAACCGCATTTTGGTACCTATCTCGACCCGTTGTATAATGTGTTTAGATATAAAAGTATTATACACCGGTTTTATTCGAGTCGGTGGTAATTAATTGTTTTGCAATAGTCGTCTGCACGAGAACCAAAAGTTTATTAATATAATGACGTATGCCTATGTATAATATTATAATAATATCAGAGGTGTGCGATCTCGTCGGGATAAGTGAACATCTGTGAACCATACATAATCACATGTATTTTCATTCGCGTAGTTTCGTCGCACATTTATCGCCGCAACGGCAAAGTCCAAAATATAAGTTCAAATAAAGCAAAATAATATAATATTGTAAAAATAGCTATATTAGTTAAGTTAAACTGAGTTAAATAGCGGCAGCAGTGTCGTTTTCGGAATTTGTCGTAGCGGGTAAATAACTCGTAGGCCCCGCAATTCGGATCAAAAATCTTTATAGTGGATTACTTAACAAAAAAAAAAATTGTTTTTTTTTTACTAAAATTGGGATGGATCCAACTCGGAGGTTGCCTTATACAACGTACAGTAAAAATACACATTCTAAAGGCCACCACCGACCACTGGATCTATATAGATATTTCTTAGCTATCTACTAATTACTATATCTCTGGTAGGTCGTAGTTATAATATGTCAATATGTTGAATGTTAAAACCATTGACAATAAAGTAATGGATAGGCCATGACATCTTATCACACGTGCATGAACGTTACAAGGGGTCATTTAATTAAATAATGATAAAACCCCTTGCAAGAGTGAGAAGCACCATATAAAAGCTGCAGTCCGTCTTTCATCCACATTCCGGCACGCAAGCCCCTCGTACATTAATATAGGAATGACCTATCCATTATTTTATTATCTATGGTTAAAACATAAAATACCATCGCAAATAATTGTCGATAAATCGCTGATTATAACATTAATATAATTGGCATTTGAACGAATCAATTGACCGATATAATGCGTAATGGATTTTTAATTTACTGCCTATTGACTTTAATCTCATACCCATATAAATAAATAGAAATAAACTACATGTATGTAGCAGTCATAAATTATTCGTTTGATGTTAAATATTAAAGTTATGTTTCTTTATATTAATTCTACGTCATATTATTAAATTAAAATGAACTGATGGATCATTTATGAATATTCACACACCCAGAGAGAGCATTCGAAAAAGTGGTCGACAGTATGAAATATTATGTGTACGATGTACCTAATACAGGCTACAATAGACCTATAGATATTACTTAGTATAATACAGGCTAACTATACTCTACATAAATCATATTATACCTAAATCGCTTGCTAGACATACAAAATATAACGTATAGGTACTTCATAACTTTTTTTATTTAGTATCCAAAATTGTCACTGGTACTGGCTGTCTGACTCACTGTATTTACTAAAATATTATTGTACGATGTACTTTGTGCTATTTCAACCGGTTTAATAATTTAATAATTATTATAATATACATTGCTTGATATTACTTCTTTTTTTATACATAATATAATTTTGTTGATATTATTTTATTATATTGAATGGTTAGTTGAATGCATTTTAAAATTTGATTAATTCAATTTTTTATTTCAAGGAATTATAATTAAATCGAAGGGTCCTGGTTGTGAGATATTTCATGTATAAATTATAAATTATATTCGAGCAGGACATTCTGATAGGACGTGCTTGACCGAAACGTGAAAGTACCATAAGCACGCTGTCACCAATGTCATCGTTACCTAATATTTACCTAACATAATATACATATTATTTATTTTATATTTTTTTATTCTGTATACCCAGTTTTATTGACATTCGGCTAATACAATGGGAGGGCTAAAATGGCATAATGGCTAATGGACAATGTCATATTATATTAGTCATATCAATTTGCATACATAATAGTTAATATATATTATAATACAAATACTATTTATATACATATAGTACTATACGTATACTCCTCAAGTGTTAAATAATATATTAGGTATAGATGTATTTACCATTAAAATAATAGGTACCTATTACCTACCTATTGTCAATTCGAACATATTTGACTTGATTAGGCGTCGTTAAATCAATTACTTATTATTATTTGTTAAATACATATTGTATAGATTTAGAATTTACCATATAGATTTTTGACACATATATTGCATTATAATAGTACTCGGCGTGTACCAGCTGAGTACGTTTCCTATACGTAACGACTTTTTTCTAATATTTTTATTATTAATGTTTACAGGATGCGAGGCATTTTTATCGGATTTGGATAAATTGCCGTGCATACAAATTGGCGAATTCAAGCTCCGCTTAGAACTCGACGATGAGTTGTCACCAGAGTTGTTGGAAGTGGCAGTCAAAGAACTCAGAGAAACTCCCGAACAGCAAGAAAAATCAATCGCTGAACTGAAAGCATTACTCGAAAGTAAGCACATTTTACACGTCCTCAAAAACTCTATTTTCTAGGTTTGAAATGAGATATCAAATGTAAATTAAAACTATAGCCGTGCGACTGGTTTTGTTAACGTTGATTATAATTATTATTGTAGTTTAATTTTTCTTTCGAAACAACTACCTATACTAATATTATAATAATCGTCACCCGATTGCATACAAGACGTGCGGCTATTGTAAACGGACCAAAAATATGTTTTTAGAGAGACGCACAGATTACCGTGGTTGTGGCATAAGAACAATTAAACAATTATTTATCTACGACACGTATTATAGTATTATATGATATCATTCAAAATAAATGTATAATATAATACGTATTGGGTAGGTAGGTAGTAAACACAAATGAGAATAAAAAAAAATTAACAATGTCATACCTCATTAAAACCTAGAATTTAAATTTTTACCATTTTCTCTCAGTCATCACACGTGGTATATTATAATATTATGTCACGCATTATATTATAATCATGTACCCATTGGCCATCGGCCATCATTAAGCCTTAGGAATATACATCCGATACGTCATGTAATTTAACACGAAAACATTTTAGTCACTTTACTCTAATAATTAATAATAGTTACATGACATTGAACCACGTAATAAATATTTTTACCCGATTTAAGTAGGCATACAGACATAATGCTACCTACCTACATATTATAATATACTGTTTACCATTTAAAATTAACACACTTGTTGCGCACCTAATACTTATTGCGCGTATTAATTCGTTTAAAGTCCACTGCACAATTAGTATGGCAATAAAATTCGTACAGATATAATATTTTGTTCGATGAACCGCCCGCAGCGATGAAATGATGAGAACAACACGAGATAATAATAGGCGATTTTCTATATGTCATTGCCATTGGTATCTAATGTTTTTTATTTGTTATATTATGTTTTTTGTTCTTACACTGACCTATATTTGTATTTTATTGTGCATACATAAACAATTTCCTATATGCATGTGTTACATTATTCCAACGAACAAAAATAAGCAGTGTTGAATATGTTATTGTACATAAATCATATATTATAATTTATAGCTATAGGTGATTTGATTTGACTATGCGTGATATGCCAATTGTCTGCGTTCCTACTCATATCTATTCTTTGTTTCTGATTCTTCGTTATCGATTTACATACTATTAATTATATACAAGAACAAGACTATAGCTAAATAACTCGGTACCGCTACTGAAAAAAATAAAAATAGAAAATGGTGAAATTATAATGAATAGGTAGGTAAGTAGGAAGATAATAATTCAAATGTCCCAACGAAAAACTGATAAATTGAATTACAATGCTCTACCTTCCCCTTACAAAAGTGGAAAAAAAGTCCTAATTAGGTACCCAATACGTCTTATTTATGTCAATTCATCGAAGTTTTTCCTATTTATAATCGAATAATTAATAAATGGGAAAAATTAATTAATATTTATGATGAATGATGTATCCGTATATCCATATACAGGATAATTTTTTAAGTATGCTCACCAGTCACCCCTGTTTTCCCCTTTAATAGTATAATTCGAATTTTGAATACATCTGAAGACCATATTTTCAAATTCCTGACCCAAACTCATGTTTTTCAAATGAGATCCCCCTTTTTTTACTGCACATTATTTAGCGGATAATCTTTTTGAAAATTTAAATATATCTAAATCAAAATTCTAGTGAGTTGTTTTTGAGTTATTAAAATGTATGTACTAATATTTATGTATTTTTAATATCCCTAAAAATGATTTTAAAAAAACTCAAACTATATATTGTAATATTAGATGTACTAAGTATTTATATTCTATACTTGAATCATTCTTAAAAAAATATTTATTTTGATAGATCATAAATAGTAAATACTAACATTTTCAAACCACAAACTAAGCCCTCATCTCTACTTAACCTATTATCATAAATTCATAAACATATTGTCCTTAGTACACAAAGTTATATAACTTAAAAACTATACATTCGAATTTTGATTTAGAATTTCAGAATTCAGACACATCAACATTTTCAAAAAAAAAATATATCTGTGGAAGTTAAAAGGGAGTTCCTATATTATGAAAAACAGAAGTTTGTATTGTGACAGGATCATCCTTAAGTGATACAAAAAAATCTCAAATATTCGTAATCATGGTCTTCAAATGTATTTAAAAATTCCAAAAATTAGAATTTGAATATATTCTTTATAGAGCGAAAATGCTTAAAAAATACTTTGTATATTATATTATATATATATATATATATTATGAACCAGCATTAACGGGGTAGGTTCTCGTGTTTCTCCAAAAGTCAAGCACACTTCCTAATTTTATCTCATTTCACTTCCTATGGTCATAAACCATACCCTAACTTCACACCCTTAAAAATATCTCAAACTTAATGTCAGTTTTTCTTCCCCTCTATATAGGTATCTATTTTATCACTATTATAATGATTATATAAAAATTGTTACTATCATACTATATATTATTTTATATAACTTGTAATTGCCGCTAGGCTTTAATATATTTAAATAAAAATTAATAAAATTATATATCTTGTGTACAATATAATATACAAGGGAACTATATTCAATGATATACCTACTTACTTTCACGTCAACCTATGATTAGTTTAATTAATATAAAAATATAAAATGCATATTAATATATTGGTTATTATAATATGGGGTCCGATTATATAACGCAATACCATAATAAAATATTAGGTACCAAAGATAAATTATTCATATATTATCTTAACGTAATATGATGATAATACAAATTACAAAATATACCTCCATGTGCACATATCCTTCATCAATAATAAATTAAAATAATATACCATACTTAAATTTATATAATCAACATTTATTTATTTAAATTTGGTATAGGTAGCTGAATTATTATATATTATAATGATATTGATAATTTAAATGGTTAGTTTTACCTACCTAACACGCTGCACGATTAACAAGGGATACTTTACTATATTATATACTATGTATAGAGTATAGACAATAGACATTATAGTGTATATTTGTTTAAAATATAAACGTTCTTTAAAAAAAATAACATTCATTTTCGGTAAAATTGTAAATGAATAAATACAATTGAAATTCAAATGGACATGTATTTTGTCAATAAAAAACATGAAGGTTACCAAATAATTTTTAAAAAATAAGATAATATGATGTAATAACTTATAAGCTATATATTTTATATTATTTCTTGTATGAACACATTTTTCATCATTCAATCTTACACTTATAAAAAAATGTTGTCTAATGTTTTTAAAAAATACTTTAAAGAATAGAGAAAACAATATACTCGAAACTTGTTTTTAATTGCGTTTTAATAGGTACGTCTAATATAATTTTAATTTATATCTACCTTTATTATAAAGATATTCATTTATATATCGGTAACTACATTATATTTTATAAAAACCAGAAGAAACAATGTAGATTGAATTTATATATCGGAATAGGCACTATATAAACTCTAAAAGTCATGGAAATATTCACAGACGTAAAAACAAATACCCAATGAAACATTAAAATTTAAAATATTTGAATACAAAATATAATTTCTCGTAATTTAAACTTAGATTTTACAAACATTTTATAAGTCACAAAACATTACAAAATAATGTACCTATATAGTCACCTGGTATAGGTTATTCAATTGTTTATAAAACAATTGGTAGGTATTGAAAGATTATATTCTGCTTCTTAGTTATCACGCTAAATAAATAAAAACGTTTTTGTAAATATTGTTGTTATTATTATATTTTAGAGGACACTGATCTGAAAGCGCCCATAGACAACAGAGCGTGGCTTATTCGCTTCCTTCGTCCAACGAAATACTATCCGGAAAGCGCATACAAGCTGGTAATATATACCATCGGTCATTGGACTCGATTATATTATATTTTATCAATTACAATATATTATACGACTTAATTTCATCGACAGATCAAACAATACTATCAATTCAAAGTGAAACACTCGAATATATACAATGGCCTTTCGCCCAAGACTGAGAAAAACATTTTCGATCACGATATACTACATGTCTTACCTAAACGTGACCAAGGCGGCCGCAGGATTTTAGTCATCGAATTAGGAAGTAAGTTACTTATTACTAATAATAATCATCTTGTTGAGTTAATGTTTAAATCATTATTTAAATGTAATTATTAATCCATAGGCGTAGTTAAGGGGGCTTGGGGGGCTTAGGTCTCCAGTTTGAATAATAGCCCCCCACGACTCACGAGTCATTACATGTCTGCCCCAGGAAGGGCTAAATCCCCCCCAAAAAAAATGTATTTATAATTTATATGCTACGCTTGTTACAATCAGGCCTTGCAAACGTTTCAATAACGTAATGATTATAACGTTATATTTGACCAAAAAATATTGAATTTATAAACGTAATTATAAAGGAAAGCGATAATCAAAAATAATTAAATACCTGACTGTTAACAAAATATATTATGTATCATTTAACAAAACATAACGCAAAACAATTTATAGAATACATTGAACGGAAAATAACGCAAAACGAAATATTTTAAAATCTATTTATCCAAAAGGTCTATTGGTTTCGTAGAAACATTCATTTCATGCAAACAATCTGAGGATCGATTATATCTCAAAACTTGTGCAACGTTTTAATTCTGAATAACGATAAACGCAAAAATTGTGTAACGTTTTAATTGTAAATAACATAAAACGGAATTTTTTTTTTAAATGCAAGCCCTGGATATAATTGATTAATTGAATTGTCTACATTTTTGTATATCCCACGAGACTGTAGTGGAGATAAAATATATGACGTGGGACGGTCAATTTGTAAAGATTGTAAAGATCTTACAATGATGAGCTTATTGTGTCAATATAAAAATGGTTTTAAGCAGAACAAATTCTTCAATCTTAGACTTTGAGGATGGCTCTGGGTTCCGCAATTTGGATCTAGTTGTTACTTTGGGGTAAACAATTCCCAGTATTTTTCTAAATTATCGGAAAAAGACTAGGAGACGGGAATATATTAACGCAACGCCAATTTTTACGAAATCAAATTTGTTTTTAGTTTAAATTCAATACTTTAACCGCAGACTTTACAATAGTTCTTCCTAAGATTTGCTTATAGCTATTTAAAAACATCAAAAGTACATACATAGGCACTTTTTTTATAACATATCCTCAACAAAATACTGACGCAGTGACACACCATCTCCGTTCAGGATTGTTTGTCGTTTATAATGATTTTTCATTGTATTAAAATATAACATCCATTACGCACTCATAAACTCATTACAGTGCTCAATAACGGTTCACTCAAAATCTACCTACTAAAAGCCAAATCGATTTCTCCGGTTTTATTATTTAAAATTTGTATATATATATAGATGGCAGGATGCCAGGATATTCTTAACAAAACGATTCACGTGTCAAACTAAAATAAAAAATGACCATTAGGTGCAACTGTACAAAATTATATTTGCATTTTTTTTATTGACTAGCTATATTTGTTCGGTTTTCCAGAGAAATGGAAGCACAAGAAGTGCACGTTGGACGAAGTATACAAGGGCGCTGTGATATTCCTCGAAGCAGCCATAATGGAACCAGCCACCCAAGTAGCCGGTGCCCAAGTAGTTTTTGACATGGACGGTTTGTCGTTGCAACAGACTTGGCAGTTTAGCCCACCGTTCGCCAAGAGGATTGTCGACTGGCTTCAAGTACGGATCATGACATCTAAATTACGAGCATCATCTCCCAACGCACATACTTTACATTTTAGGGTTGTCCAATCGCATACAAATATAATAATTTACCGTGACAAAAACAAAATGTTGGTTCTACAAGTTGTATATATACAAGAGCCGTAGCTTTCGTAAGGCGATGACCGTATTAATATTATGTGGTTTGGGTATTGAATAAGAAGAAAAAAACAATGAAAACAGAGCATTTTGTAAATAGTCATTTATAAGAATATAATGCGTAGTATACTATATATTATATATATATTTAATGTTATAAATCAAGCCCGTGTTTAACTATTAAATTCATGATGGTATACTATATATTATATTTAATATTATAAATCAAGCCCGTGTTTAACTATTAAAGTCATGACGGTTTAATGACATAACAAGTGCAATATGCAATATGAATAAATAATTAAATATATTAACAATAATTTAGTTAGTTACCTACTTTTTATGTATTATTATTTAAAAAAAATTATTTATTACCTATATGGGCATATGGCTATATATATTATTTATAGGTACGCGGCATAAAAACCAATGTGTTTTAAAGTTGATTAGTGCCTAAGGAGAAAATATAAATACCTATTAAAATATAGAACAATAACAATATATATTATAAGTAAAGGTAGCTAAAAATTATAAATTATAAGTATATATTCTAAATCATAATTTATTATCAGTAAGAACAGTTAATACTTAATAATATTAAAATTCGGATTTCCAGTATATATATATTATATAAGCTTACTTATAAAAAAAATATTTTACTATAAGAAAAATCAGAATTTTATCGAAATTATTTCTATTATAAGCTATTTAGTGTTATATATGCTATCTGTCACATAGGAACAATTATTAGTTTTAAAAAACAATAAAAAAAGAAAAAATTTACAAGTTTAGATGCGATATAAGAACCGATTCGAATTGAATAGAACCAAAAGATTCAATGTACTTTCCAAATTGAAAATTGCATATAACTATAATAATAAAAAAAATAATATTCTGTCAAAATCCGGTACTATGGATTAAAAATCAAAAGCGGAAACACAGGTTTTGGTTTTTACTTTTTACACATTTTTTCCACAATAATCAAATATTTACCTATATAATTAATCAATAATGACATTTTCTGATATCGTCTCCCTTATGGAATTATATTCTAGTGTGTTGGGGAGTGCTTGCGTGTTCGTTCTATCCAAAAACATTGTGTAGGTACATGTTTAAAATAACATTGTTGCGTTTATGTCGTTTTTAGGACGCTGTTCCTGCGCGGGTCAAAGGAATCCACATCGTCAACCAACCGATTCTGTTCAACGTCGTCTTCAATTTCTTCAAACCGTTCCTGAGGGAAAAATTACGGTCGAGGGTGAGCTTACACATTTTTAGTGTTTATTGGTGGGGGAAGGGGGGAGAGAGAGAGAATAATTATAATCTTAAAGATGAGTGTTGTCGGGTGCCGACCCTGAACAAATAAACCTCGTACTAATATCATTTTAATAAATTAAAATAAAATATTACTAAATGTTAAACCAACCTTATATGAGTCCTGTTACTTTACCTCTTTATGTTTACTTATTTGCACTGTATATTATCTACTTTATATCTACATTATTGTATTTTTAACCAATGCCCTCCAGGGCGTATACTCATCAAATAAATAAATGGTTACAGATCGTCTTCCACGGTACTGACAGGGTGTCTTTGCACAAACACTTATACCAGCCATGTCTACCGGAATGCTACGGTGGCACGTTGGACGTACCCCGTGTTACCGGACCTCAGTGGCATGAACTACTGGTTACAGTAGAAAAAGAATTTGACGGTACGTATACAATAACATTGTATGATATTATGGGTATACGGATATGGCTAAATGGATAATTACAACATCTAATATGTTTACATATCTAGGTATAAATAATTGAATAATTTGCATAATCGAGTACCTACATAACATATATACGTGTATATGGTACAAGTTCGTCGGAGACGATTAAAGTCCAAACTCGGGAAATTATATAATAGTATATTATTATATTATTATTATATTATACTATCCTACATCCAGGTCTAAATTATTTATCCCTCCGATATTAGAATTCAAAAACTTCAAACCTATAATGTAGGGTAATAGTCGATTTCTACTGTATATTATACGACTTGCTCTTCTCATCCCTCCGCAATAATTATACCATCAATGTATTGAAAATTGCAATATTTAAAGAATTATATATTAACGCGTTATGGTGCAAGAAACGCCAATGCCAAATTTTGACAAAATTTAGTTTTGAATAATTTTAATAAAAAAAAATGGGCACTTTTAATATTAAATTTCCCAACAATGTTCTTATTTGGAATTAGCCCTTTTTGCGCCAAGCCAGTAGATATCTAAAGCATACATAATTGTATTACACGGGTATTATACCTATATGTTATAGTACCTATTACCTATGTTCCTATGTTGATTTATTTGGACTCAATTATTTAAGGTTTCTAATACAATATGTAAATGACGTGATATTGACATTTTTTAAATATTATTTTCAGTATTAAACAACTACGGTTATGGAAAATGATTTCAGTCTGCAACAGCGTCCAGCGCAATATCATCAAAGACAAAATGAAGCCTTCCAAGCACGTCTTCGATAATTTAAAAAACAAAAAAAAATATTTTATTATTTTGGTGTCTGTCGAACATTTATATTATAGAAAACCCCTTATTTTTATTATATCAAACAAATAAATTATTATAGTTTTAAGGTTAATTTTAGCCATGTCAATGATTTCCATCTCTTTAGGACTTATATAATATAGTACCTATATATATAGGTAGAATTATAGAAATGGCGTATGTTATATAATGTACCTACTCGTGTACCATATATTGTTTGGTATATAAATTATTTATTCTTTAATTACCTACCTATATTATATTATATTTATTTATTAACAACAATTTTACTTTTTTAGTACTCATTCACTTGTTATACCTATTATTTGTTATATCGATACTCGATTTTGTAAGAAAAAAAATCGTAAATATATATGCATACATAATTTAAATACCATAGTAATTATTCGTATTTAACAGTGCAATTTTTTATATTTTAAAACAATTTTATTCTCTATGTGGTTTTAAGAATTATTATTATTCTATTAAATGCTAATTGCTAAAACAAGTGTATATTACTTTGACTACCTACCTATAGTGCTGCAGGGCCTTGAAAATATATTTAATATATTAATTAGATACTGAAAATAATTAATACTCTATCCTTATCTAAAAAACTTTGGCCCACCGTATAAAAATATTCGGAGACCCTTGCCCTAGTGTATTTAGTATTAGGCTATAATATAATTATATTATGCATTATTTTAGATTCTGAGTAGGTTTTTGTGACATTTAAATATAGTAATATGATTTAATCATTGAGAGTGGTTTTTGATAGGAACATCAACTATAAACATATATTACCTATCAAATTACTACAAAAAAACAAAATTGATTTTGTCAAAAAAAGTTTTCTCCGGTTTTCTCTTTTTTTTTGTTTTTTCCTGACGCTTTAGAAAACAACTGTGAATTTTCCATTTTGACCTCCTAACTACATTTAAGTTTTTGTTGGGACTCCGGGGCAGACTTTTATAGACGGAATGTCTGGCTTACCACGATAGATAGGTATATACTATATAGGTACTCAATAATCGATGTAACGGGATACCTACCTACAACGGAAAATGAACACGCAATAACAGTTTAACTAAATTAAAGTCTAACCAAAATACTGTATATTATTACTAATTACTAAGGTTTTTAAAATTTCATGAATTTTTTTTTTTTAAATATTTCATTCCTATGAAAAATAAAAATAAATGTTTTTTATATCTAAAGGTTTAAAGTCAATAGTCACTAACTTGCAAGTGAACATTTTTAAAAGTTAGTTGTATGAAACAAAGAAAATTTGTAACATATTATGTAGATATAATGTAGAAGTTATTTAACAAATCTATAATATATTATCAAATTTAAATATAGATTTCGATTATTGAGTTACAAACTCATAAGCTAACTCAACATCTTTAAGAGGATGCTATCCATGTATTTGTTGTCTCATCCGTCTTACACATCACGTACGACATAGCAAATTGTCGTTCACTGGCTTCAATAGTGTGCTGTTAGTTTTGATATTAGAGTGGTTTGACCTATTATGAATTTTTTAGATAATAACATTATCTGTGCTTAAAAGTTGGCTTTTATTCGATATTTTAATTTTCAAGCTAGAAATGAGCATATTTATTTTTTGATATTTCACATACTCATATCATGCTTAAAAATGAAAATGTCTTAAAATCGGAAACGATTAAACACAGATAATGTTCTACCCTAAAAGTTTTATAATAGGTCAAATCACTCTAATATCAAAACTAACAGCACACTATTGAAACTAGTAAACGCCAATTTGGTATGTCGTGCAGCGTGTGTAAGTCGGAGACAACAAATGTATGGGTAGAATCCTCTTAAATATTTTAAGACTCATATAAAAAAAGTGGATCACTGTAATGGATCGTGTTAAATTTGAATTCAATGATATATAATATATTAATATCATTGTATAAGAAAAACGATTCTGGGCGAAAACGGTCAGTCAGCCTATGATATTACTAAGTATATATTTGATGATATAATTAAGGTGAATAAAGTAATTTATATAAAATATTATATTATATTATAGCCTATTTACGTAGAATCTTGTTTTAAATTTTCAATCCATAGCTATAGAAGTTAAACATTTTATATATTTTTAACTACAAAATAATTATTAAATTTTAAAAGTGATACATTTTGTCAAAATTTGAACTTCAAATGCTTATAAAAAAAAATTGTGTCCATGTATTTATAATATTTTTCAACTGCCATTATAACAATATATCAGGAACCTTATTGCATTCAAATTTCACGCTTTTTTTACCCAACAAATAAAATTTTATTGATATTTATAGAAAAAAAAACTAAGAAAATTTTAAACTGACAATGCCCGTAAACAGCTCAAAAAGAGTCAAAATATTTTCAAATTTTTATGGTGTAGAGAAAATGAAAATATAAACATTCAGTAAAATTCAGTTCTACAGTTATTCGTTTTTGAATAACAATAAAATAACAAAACCACTACATGAGAAATCGAGTGAATATCCAATTTTGTAAAAATATGAAATTCAAACACTGATACAAATTTAATTTGATTTGCTTGTAGACATTTTTTTTTTTTATACAGGTAGAAAAAATTTTGAAGAATCTTGTATTACATTCTCAAATCTCAGATTTAAAAAGGAAATATTTTATGAATTCTCAAATCAAAATAATTTGCTGATTTTCGTGATTTTTCAGTATTCTGTCAAGATTTGAACTTTAAATGCTTATAAATAAAAACTGTGATTAATGATTTTTAATAGAAAGTCGGTAATCTAATATTAAAAAGGAAATTTCACAGAAGGCCATCTGGCCCTACGTTTTTTAATTTTACTAGACCAGACTCAATATCAGAAATACTAACTGAGCAATTATATGGGGTAAGTCAAAACTCAGGTAGGGGAGATTAGTGTCACTGTTGATGTTGGAGGTTGAGTAAACCTAGTTGAAGTACTTAAAAAACAGGTTGGCAATGTCCTGTGGACTAGAGCAAAAAATTCATCCAAGTGGACTATGTTGGGAATACTATTTTCTGACCTAAGGTTTCGAATAAGGATTTGTGGTTGCTATTTAAACCAGCCTCAATTCAGGTAGTGTAGTTTTAAAAGCATTTTTTTGACTCAGACTTATATTGGGCACGGATGTAGGAAAACTGAGCATAATGATGTTAGTCGTTAGACTGTTTTAATATAGAGCATGGGCTTGCCTTTTAGGTAGGACAATTGATTTAAGTTTTAAATGTAGATTATTAATATTGTAAATTGTTTCATAATTATTTTAAGCCATATTGTGCTTATACAATTATAGTAGATAAGTACTAAGTGCAATGACTGCAATGTGTTATAACTGTATAAGTTTATAATTTTATAATTAAGTAATAAGTATGTAACAATATAAGTTATATTAGGTACTGTATTACCTTATTAGTTATTTTATTATATAAGATTGTTGATTTTTAATCAACTAAGATTGTAAGTTTTCTGTCATAATTTGTACATTATAATACAATTACCTAATACCAATATACCATATTTTATACTTAGGTATACAGTTATACGCAGTTGCAAACTTAATTTATAACCATTAACATATTATAAATTATAATAATTCGTAAGCCTTTTAGTTTATAACTGATAAGTTATTCACTATCAATGTTTTTTGTATGTATAATGAATATATTATTTCCAACCATCTATAACCGAACACGTTTAAGAGAAGAAAAAATATTTTTCATAATTTCATTGAAGAGTGAAACTTTCAACAATGAAATATTTCAATTGAAAAATTTTAACTGAAACATTTCAATTTCAGAACTCTAATTATAATAATAAGACACGTTATCAACATTTGACACAAATTACAATATACATATTCATTTACGTTTTAATTCGTGGTTATCGTTGGAACTTGATTGATATCTAACATTTTTGTTAATTTTATAGGTACCTAAATAGTTTTAATTCAATTTTTTTCTTTTATATATATTGTCTAATTGGTGATTATTCAGCTTAAATTGTTAATGTTATTATTACTTTTCAGTACCTACGACGCTATCACTAATTATAATTTTATTTTAGACTTTTATTTGTGTATTAGGTGTAGGTATATTAGATTAAAATTTAAGAGATTAGCTATACCTTTACTATTTACTATTATACTTGACAGTGGTGAGCAACTTTTCAAATGGGGTGGTGGCAGTGGCTCCAAACTCTATGGCCACGGCCCGACCTCTTTCGGCTACGCTTTTATTTCCATAAATAACTTTGTGTCTTTTTTATAAGTAAATAATGTAATAAGTATAAGAGTGCGTTGTGGAGTGGTGTTAATGGTATTTTAATTATCTAATGACTAATAGTTACTGTACCTTGACAATCTGCAAAATTCCATTGGGGGAATGTGTCTAGCTAAAAGATTAAAATCTGCATCACTTGTAGATAAACAAACATTTTGTATTTTTCTATAAATATTTTGGAAGAAATGAAAGAAACATGTAGAATAGATAGCAAACGGATAAACATCATTCAATCATTGATTGAGTTTATTGCTGTTATTTCAAAGTCTGTAAAAATTTCAATTTTCGTGTTTTCTGTTATATCAATGTTATCTACCATTGCAATATTGATCAAAATATTAAAATAATAAACATTTCCGCTGCCTGAAAGTGTTGATTTTCTGAAAATGTAAAAAACTCGTCGATTTTGTATTCTCCGTTCGATGTTTCAACATTAGTTACCTAATATCTACACATTTAGTAGAACATATCCATTAAAAATGTTTTTTTTTTTTTATAATTTTTATTTATTTATATAAAATATTATTTAGGTACACTTATTACGGTTCCTCAATCCTCCATGTGTACTTTTTATAACTTCTATAGAACTTATTTTATTA